ATTGTTAACCAGACGAAAAGGGATCGCAAGGAGAAAGTGAGTGAGGAACATTTCGGAATAAAGAGAAGACGTTTTCACCGAGTGTAATCAGCCAGAGGAAGCTACAATTTGCGGTTCTGGCGTTTGCTAGAATAGTGACAGGCAGTCACAACCATCACATAAATTCGGAATTCTGATTAGTACCTGAGAGACAACTTAACTAGAAATCTATTTAAGATGCTGCAGGATACCAAAGATAGGCTTTCACAGTTTGCTCAGATCATATGGATTGAATCATAGAGATTGACCTCGGATACAATACCTAATATCTGCAAACTTAGGAATCATAGCCTAGGCACTCCACTCGGTGACGTCAAAATATACGTACTACCAAAGGCTTGAGTAAAATGAATATCGTGACTGGAACCAGGCAAAATCAGTCAACTAGCATGATAAGAAACGAAGTTCCGTGAGCAGAGGAAGATTTTGATAGGAGGACCAAGTCGGATCAGTAATTCCACCAAATCGAGATGAATAGGAGACAAGATAAACAAGCATGTATGATAGAGCTCCACTAAACTCGCCACAAAGGGTACGCTTACAGAGGAATTGAATATAAGCAAGTCAGAAGTTTGGAAAGCGAGGAAGTGGGATACGAGGATGAGAGGTAAGTAGGCGTATCAAGACGGAGGGGAGAGGGATGACAAAACCATTTACCAGAAAGTTGAGCTTATTTGTCTTTATGACGATTTGAGGCTTGGTGCCAAGGTTGGCAATTGTCAATTAACATTCCGACTACGACGTCAACCATGGTGTCAGAAACATCTGGGAATGTATCAAGTCCACGGCCCTAAGCCGAGATTTACCATACAAACTTAGGACTCTGGAAGAGGGGCGCCTAACCAAATTGTACCGACAATAACGGCCAGGTGATAAAAGGATGTCAAATCACTTATATATATATAGCTGACGAAAGTTTGGAGAAATGACTTTCTAAATGAACAACCGAATAGCATAGGAAAGCCTTTCCGACGATATGCGAAGCCAATGGTAAAAATGATTACACCCCACTATGCCTACTATAAGAATCACACACTTGGAAGGTAATGGAACGAGTGGAGATACATAGGTGCAGCTAAGAAAATTGGTTGTAAAAGTCATATTGAAGGTTGAGGATGCCGGGCCAGAGGCCTAGGGAGCAAACGGGTGGTGTGAGAAATGCTAAAAACATTAAACAGAAAATTAGTCCAAAGGATTAGCCTAACTTGCCACTGAGGTATTGTAACTTGATGTTAAGGGTGGCGCCACTCATAGAGAATGTCGGCGAAACTTCTGGGATCAAGGTTGAAGGTTTCCCCGTCATTATTGCAAAAGAAGACTACGACCAAACCTAAGGTTCTTAATCTTCTTCATACCTGCCCAAACCAGCAATTGAGTAAGCTAATAGTAATTGTGGAATAAGTATGAAGATTAAAGCTTGTATGCTTCAAAACAAACTCGATCCACCAGAACATAACTGCCAGAGTAACTTACTAAGAGTGAGCACATTCGATAGAGAAGCTGGTAATGGGTTGCTGGAGGGGTGGTGATGAAAGTTAGGCGACAGTTTAGGAGAGCATTCAATACTTCTCGGGGTTATTTTCGTGAGCGACGACGGTGATGGCGGTACTAATGGTAGCAAAGGCAGCTCGTAGACGTTTAAGAGACAATCCTCGTAATCACAAGCACTAGGTGTCAACCGAAAATTACTAAGAAGCTCACTTTCCGGTTTGGCATCTGTACAAGAATGTGTTGCGGCAGGCTGGGAAGGAAGAACAGGAAGACTGGCAATAACTGACTCGCTAGCAGATTTGACCTCATCAATATAGGGACAGAGGTCTAACTCCTGACTGGGAGACTGACTACATCCGCCATCCAGAATCTGGTTGACTATAAGTTGCGCGACTTTTGAGTCATCAGAATGCGCTTCCTCATAGCCCTTCATCCTCATAGCATTTTCCGTTTTAGTATCCCCATGGTCATAAAGTACATTCCTCTCCTGGCCCCCATGCTCTGTCTGCTTAGCGGTCCCCTCGGCGGCTTCAGCATCCTTTTC